TGGTCTTGATCTTCGGCCATTTCCCTTGTATCTGACCAGAGAATTTTGTTGCTTAGGATGATGTTAAAAGGATTCCCAGGAGGCAGTGTCCTTTTCTCATCTGGGCATGTCTTCTTTTCTGTGGATTTTCTCCTCTTTCTCATTTACTTAGGGGAATGGAGGATGCCACTGTTATATCCAAGGCTGTGGAGTAGGAGTAAAGTAGGAATAAGGAGTAAGAAAACATATTTGTTGCTCCTTGTTCCTGATTACCATATAATCAGAATTCCAAAAAGGAGCTTGATGAGTCATGTGGCAATGATGGAATATTTTCTTATTGAGGAGTATAATAGGAGTAGGAGTAACATTAAGAAAAAATACCTTACTCTGGAGTAGACAAAGAGTAACCCCAAAATCACAACTACTCCCTATCCCTGGTTATATCATACAAGGAAGAAGGGTCAGGTCATATGTACTTAGTGAGAGGAAAACTGACAGAAACCGAATTGCTATTTTTCAGGGTTGGAGGAAAAACAAGTTTTTTAAAAGGTTTTTTCTTTATTAAATCAGTTTTTTTCATTATTATCTTAATGAAAAAAATTGAATCTTGCTTATTAATATTGTGAAACATTATTTTATGTATTAGAAAGCTTGGTCAATCATGTTTTTATAGAATTATAGAGTTGGAAGAGACGACAAGGGCCATCCAGCCCAACCCCCTGACATGCAGGAACTCTCAATCAAAGCCCTCCCTGTGACAGATGGCCATCTAGCCTTTATTTAAAGACCTTCACTCACCAAGGGAACATGCTCTACTGTCGAACATCTCTTACTGTCAGAAAGTTTCTCTGAATGTTTAGGTGGAATCTCTTTTCTTGTAGGAACCTCTTTAAATAAACATACATTGTTCCAGGTCCTATTCTCCGGGCAGCAGAAAACAAGCTTGCTCCCTCCTCAATATAACATCCCTTCAAATATTTAAACAGAACTTTCATATCACCTTTTCGCTGTCTCTTCTCCAGGCTAAACATACCCAGTTCTCTTAAGTTGTTCCTCATAGGTCATGGTTCCCAGACCTTCACCATTTTAGTCACCCTCCTTTGGACACACTCCAGTTTCTCCA